GTATATCAATGTAAGCACCGCATGCGACCAGTACTTATTGTATCGCCAACCTTACTGAAGCTAAGACATCGATCAGTACCGGTAGCAGCACAAAACAACAGCACAGCACTGCGAGTGTCGAGGAAAAAAAGCAGCTATCAATAAATACAACCAATAGAGAAACACAAATACCATACATAAAGCACTCGTACATCCATATGGGCATACACAGTCCATATATACGCTCATCTATGCGAAGATTTCAAGTAAAAGCAGTAGCATGCAGCAAAGAAAGCGAAAAAATGCAGCAGAAAAAGCGCAAAATTGCTCAAAATGTTGTCAACGCTATGTAGCCCGAGCTGCCAATTGCTGCTAACATCGCGTTTAACAGCTACCAACGACCAAACGAGAGAACCAGCAGCTTTTCACCGCATAAATACATATCTAAAAATTTTTCCTGAAAGCATTGTTTTTTTTCTGCTATTCATGCGCAAGACGTCATCGCCATCATTAGCCGTTCGGAACAACGATTACCGCTGTTGATGTTGCTGCTGCTGCTGCTACTGCTGTGTTTGTGTGCATCTGCTACTTAGACTGCTGCCTGCCATGGATGCGTGTTAGTTGCCAATGTCAAATGCTGGCAGTGTGCTGCTTAGATAGCAACCATCAACGAACCAACCACAACATAACTTATTACAACTTGCCACTGCTTGTGCTACGCCTGTAATGCGGCTGCGGGTTACAATAACATGTTATTCGTATTCCACAAAAGTGTATTAACTCAATATTTCCACTTTGTCAGAAAGTGCAAAAAAAAACTATTTCAGCGCTCATGTTATTCAAAAGGAGTAGGGCGAATTTATCAAGCGATTTTGCAACAAATTACAATAAAAAAGCCGCTTCAGCTTTTACAGGGTGGTCAACAAATGATGTGTGCGCAAATTGAAGCACATAATATCAAAAATTTTAATTTTTGATTTAACTTACTTTTCGAAAAAAAAGTATTCAATATGACCATCTCCATGCGTGTGTACAGTTGTATTTAAATGCGCTCAATGATAACTACTTGCACTCACGCGTGATCTTCTAGTAATATGTTGTTCGAACGACCATTCAACGGTGCCTAACAACAATAAAAGCGTTGAGTAAAAGCATTGCAATAAGTAATAAAACATTTATAATAATTGTATTAATAACAATTTCAAGAACAATGAATTCAAATGCAATGGTAATAAGTAGCGCATGAAAAGGAAATGAGAATTGGAGCATTAACGTAGCGAACTTGGCGAAAGAATTGTGCGTTTCCTGAACTTAGTTCGAGTAGATATGTATACATTTATGGTAAGGAGAAGAATATGCATACTTATGTAACTGGGACAACGAACGACCTAAACCCCGGAAGGACAGCCACATCTGGTATACTGATCACGGCGTCGGAGCAGGAGTCTACCTCAGGCCGATGTTCACGACATTGAACTTTATCTGAGGCAGTATGTAGAAAGTGTGGCAACCAAAACACACATCTACATTCACTCGGACAGCAGAGCGGCGCTACTCGCTCTTAAAGCGCACGAGGTCACCTCAAAGCTGGTGTGGGACTGTGATCAACTTTTAATACTGATCGCCTCCAGCAACCGAGTATACCTCATATGGGTACCGAGACAGAATGGAGTCATGGGCAATGAAGTGGAAGATATTCTCGCCAGAAAGGGGCTGCACAGGTGTTCATAGGCCTAGGACCCTTTACCGGTCTGCCATGGAGCTCCGTCAGGCGAAACTATTATATCTGGATGAAGAACGAAGCTCAACATTACTGGACAAATACGGAAGGTAACAGACAGGCCAAGTCCTTCATTCCGGATATTTCAGCAAGGAGAGCCGAAGAACTCCTTCACCTTACAGGCTCTCCACTGTAGGGTAATGAAACACTTGTCAAACATAGGAGTTGTCAACTGTGACCAGTGTGGGTTGTGTAACGAAGAACAGGAAACAGCAAGCACATTATGTGCCCTTGTGAAGACCAGACTTCGCTTCCTAGGATCACCATACCTAGAAGCAGATGACCTAAATGGCATTCAGCCAAAGGACCTCGCGAGGTTTCTTAACAGTACGTGGATCAAAGATGACCTGTAGTTGAATAGAGGTTTGTTACAATAGATCGTTTTGGTCGCGGTAACTAGGTGACCTGCTGCCTCCTCTAAATCTAATCTAATCTAATCTATGTAGTTTGTTACTGGAGGCAAATATTTAGTATCCGAAATCCAACTGAGCTGTAGTTATAGTGATACTACTAACTCTTCCTAAATCGGCTAGTCCATCAATCGTTCTTGCTAAGCTCAACAAACGGCAGACCCAGGAAACGTGCTATTTCCAGGGGGTTGCACCAATGGGAAAGCTAACTTACCCCCTTAGCTGAGTGGGTTTAAGTGAGCAGGTAAAGAGTTGATTGTATGGTGGTGGTAATAGGGCTCCAATAATGGTCGTCATTCATGGAACAATACTTTCGGAAGGTAGTGACGAACACTCTGTAAACGCCGTTATTGGCTTATCGGTACACCGTGGTTCAGTCCGTGTATCTCGATCGCGCTCGTGAGTTTGATCGGATGCCTTATAACATTCTTAGTAGGAGGCTCTGTCTCCTTGCGGTAGCAGCTAAACAAAAACGGCAGTTGTGTGACCAAATAGACGCAGCTTAATTCAGAACAAGTCCGCCAATTGTCTTGTACGTTGTTAACAACGTTCCTATGCATTTGCCCCAAGTTTTGACAAGGTCCTTGTAGCGGCCCTATGGAATGGAATGAAATTGTAAGTAACCGGGAAAACCAAAAGTAAAAAGAATGGCAGTCAGACAGTATTGCTTAAGACCTAGAGACAGGATTTAGGCTTGTATAGGAGCTGTGCGTAAAAATAAACCGATTACAGTCATTTTAAGAGTGTTTACTTATATTATTACCATAAATATCATCGCTGCGCTTTTAATGATATTTTTAAGCGTTTTTGAGGTTATGTTTATATGGGAGGTATGCGTTAAAGTAAATCGACTTTGCTAATTTTTTTTTGATGTTTTCTTACTCTATTATTATAAATACATGGACAAAATTTCGGACTCATGCATACATCGCTGCACTTTTTATGACATTTTTAAGCATTTTTGAGGTTAGGTTTGTATGGGAGGTATGCTTTAAAATACACCGATCACACCAATTTTTCGTTTATTTCTTGATTTATGTCCTCAGAGCTTACATACGAAAAATTTAAGCCCTACGCCCACTCATTCCAATTATCTTCCAACTTTCGTTGTTCCACCTTTAAAAATATCAGGTAAACGGCTTTTGGCGGCGAGTTGCCCTTCATTTGAGATTTCTTCAAGAATAACATTTTCATTTTCAGATTTATAGTGCGTTTTCCAAACATGCGTTAAAACCCTTTGCGCGTATTAAGAAAGGAAACCATTTGTGAAAGATACGTTCATTCGATTTGAAAGCAATATACACCATAACTAATGTCGGCAAAGCTCCGATTACAATTTCGCAATAGATTCGGAATATTAGAAATGGAATTAGAAATGAATGCGCGAGCATAAGAAGCCGCACAACAGCGAGCTTGCCCTTCACATTTGCTTGCAATAATGCCGATTATTATGTGAAACGTTAAATATGTATAAGTATATAGATAAACAAGTGTTTATGCATGCTTTACATACAAATAAGTACACATAAATATGTATGTAAATATGAATGCAGGAAGACTGCGCGGACCAACTATTTGATGCAACATAATATAATCGCCCTGATTGCTATGGCTGCGTTTGTGAACGCGTACACAACCTGCAGATGCATGCCAAGCATGAGAATAAGAAGAAGAAGAGTAGCCAGCAGGGGTAGACGCAGCAGCAGCAGCAGCAGCAACAGCAGCAAAAGAATCATGAGTGTAACATTAACAAATTACTGTAATTATCAGAATGTATTTTCTTTAGGGGCACAATAACGAAACCACAACAACAATAAGCGCGAGTAAAAGAAAAAAATAAAATAAATATCAGCAAGCAAGAGTTTCGATAATGAATGAAACTGAGTAGTAGGCGAATGTGTGTGTGTGTGTGCGCGCGAGTGAATTGACGACGCGAAAGAAAGAAAGGTGCAGCTGCAGCGGAAGATGCCACCACAGTCAAGTTTTTTTCACAGCAAACGGCGCAACAACAACAACAATAACAGCACAACTTTTTAAAGTCACAGTTTGTAGTGAAGGTGCTGGCATCGGCTGTTGTTACTGCCAGTGCAGAGCAACACCCTCTTTTCCCGTTTTGCAACATGCCATGTAGATACATTTAAATTCAGTTGCAAACACATGTTCTTGCAACATGCCTTAATTCTCGATAAAAAAGATTGTATAGTATATTTTGCATATGCTGCGCTTGACCAGTCAAACCAAACCAACCAGCGGCAACCCGTAACAGCAACAGCAACAACAACCGGCAACAGCGCTTGACCGAAAAAGCCAACGCCACAACTTGATATGATCATCATTTGGCCATAACGTGTACTCGCATGTGATGATCGCGCCTGCTTTGCTGTGCTGTTTGCTATGTGCCGTGTGCGCTCAGCGCCCAACGCTTATGCATATGAATGCGCGCGCGCGGGCACACACAACCAACCGGGAATGCCCAGAAGCACTTTGTGTAGTTGCCTGCCCGCTCGGCGCTTCACTTTGTCGCTCCGCCGCCACTGCTGCTGCTTTCCCAGCGCAACCAACCGGCACTGTATAGGCAGGCTGGCAGCAGCTCAAATTCCAAAACATTAAGATTATCTTTCGCGCGCTCGACACACACACAACTTGTGCTCGTATGCTTCGCTTCATCGCGCGCCCATCTATACATGTGTAGCATCCCCTTCGGCCTTCAAAGCCGCGCTACGAAACGATCGAGCGTTTACTTGCCGCAACTTGTGGTGCTCATGTAGCACTTCGTAATGCATTCATAAATATATTTTTCATATTTTATATGCCTTGTGCATTACTCTCACCTGTGTCCATGGCGACCAGCGTTAGCGTGTATTCAGCCTTTGCCTCACGATCGAGCGCCCGCAGCAGCGATATTTCGCCTGTCGATGCATTTATGCGAAATAGATCTGTATCGCCTTCCTTCAGAAAGTAGCGCACTTGCGAGTTAAATGGCGGCGTATCAGCATCGTAGGCCTCCACTGTCAGCACATAGCCGCCATTAGGCGGTATTACATTCTCCATTACATAGGCTAGATAGGGGGAGTGCAGAAATGTTGGCGGATTGTCATTGATGTCCATGATGATGATTGCCAGTTCGGCGGTATCGTAGCGCGTCTCACGCTGCTCCACAGCATGTTTAGAAGCGCCCGCATTTGCGCCTGCGCCACCGCCGCCGCCACCAATACTAATGCCAGCACTGCCGCCACCACCGCTGCCACCACCAGCAACAGCCGTGCCGCTCACTGCGCCCACTTTGCCCACCTGCAGGTGTGTTGCTGCGACCTTTGCATCAGCGGCACAATCTTCAGCGCGCACTGTCAGCACATAACGCGATTTGCGCTCATAATTCAAATTCTTCGCCACGCGCACCATGCCCAAATCTTCGCTTATGCTAAAGTCGCGATTATCATCGCCGGCGGCAATCGAGAAGCGTACACGTCCATTGGCGCCCTCATCTATATCGGTTGCAGCGACTTGTAGTACCATTGCGCCAATGCTGGCATTTTCTGGCACCGAGGCGGAGTACTGTTTTGGGTCGAATATGGGGCTATTGTCGTTCTCGTCCAATATGCGTACGGTGATTTGAGTTTGTGTGGATTGCGGTGGCTCACCGCGATCACGCGCGGTAATATTTAGCAAGTAATTAGCACGCAGTTCACGATCCAAGCGGCTGGCGACGCGGAGCAAGCCATCCACTGAGCCTAGCGTGAAGGGAAGACTATCTTCGTCGCCGTAGTCGGAATGGGTGCCAGTAGCGCCGCCTTCGAGCAGATATTCGATGTAGCCATTGCGGCCTTCATCGCGATCTATGGCCTTGACGACCATAACTACAGTATTGGGTGCGATGTTTTCCAAAATAGATGTCTCATTTGGCGAGCTGAAGGTGGGCACTTCGTCGTTAACATCCTTCAAGGTGATGGTGACCTGAAACGAGGAAAAAGGGATAAAGTGGTTTAGTAAATTGAAAAGCTCGTTTGCAAAGTAAACCAATTAAAATTGCTATTAGGTTTAACAATATTTAGGTAGGAAACCCTAATACAGTGTAAGCTAGTACCCTCATACCAATGGAAGTCCCCGCTCATCTCGCTGTACAATTCGAATTCGCGGTGCAGGGGTTAAGAGTAAATCCATAGTCTAGGAATGGCTATCAGCTTTAAGCTTACGAATAAGCTTCTGCTTCGACTTTACAGGTAGTACCTAGAAGTAGGCAATAACGACCTTGACGCGGAAGTGTACTTTTTTTTTTGAAAATCATACAAAGGAGTATATAAAAAGCTTTTAACCCTTTCAGGCCCAAAGGAAACATGTTTCCTAGAAAGCTTTCCACTCATAAGAAAACTATCTAATTCGTTAATTAATTTTATGTGTGTCTTTTTATCATAAAATTTTAGAAATAAATAATTTTACCTAAACTAGAAAAATTTTCCACAAGTAAGAAAAAATTACTTTTAGAAAAAGGATGGTTGCAGAAAAAAATTTTGGAGAAAATAAAATAAATTTTTATAGAAATCTCATTTTTAAAAAAACCTTTTAAGAAAGAACATACACTTGAGAGAATAATGTTTAGAAAGAAAGAATTTTTAAGAAAAACGAGTAATTTTTAGGAAGAAATCTTTTTTAGAAATAATTTGTTAGTTGTCTCTAGGTCAAATGGTTTTTGACAATTTTTTAGTTAAAACACAGGATTTTAATTTAAATAAATATTATTACCAAAACTGAAAAAATTATCCAAGCGGAAAAAATAATTTGTGGAAAAAATTTAGGAAATGAATTTTTGGGGAAATTGAATTGCAGAAATTAATTTTTAAACAAAAAACAAAACCGACTTCAATTCCCATATAAAAACTTAAGAGTACCGTATTATCGGACGTAAACTAAATTTGTATGGAAACACCTCTGTGTTTCTTTTAAAAAATAGAAATTGGTTTAGATGGTGCAAAGTTATGCGGTAACATACATAAAAAAAATATTCCGACGAAATGATAACCTCCGCCTTTTTCTGAATTCGGTTAAAAAGTAATTTCTTCCTTAACTTTTCTTTAAGAAATATGAGGTCAGGTATGTTTTTAATTGTAGGTTTACGGTCCCGAAAGGGTTAATAGCACTAGGCCAGGCAGAAAGCTTTTAAAAGCAACAGACTAGGCAGAAAGCTTTCAATAAATAGCAATAAAGAATTAACAACAGAAGAGGCACGCAAATTGGTCCTCTGTTCCGCAGAAGGTTTAGAATTTTTTTGGAGAGTGGGAGTATAAGTGCTCATCCATTGGCCTAAGTTCTTCTCTCAAACGGCTTTACTAAGAAATAGGTGTAATGGTGTGCCATTAACTGAGTGGCTAAAGTGATAGCGACAATTTGGCCTAGGTTATGTAGTTGGCTTTTTGGTGAGCAGTACCCCCTATGGATTGCTGTGAAAATCTTAGTTTCCTCTTTAGATAGGTTGATTAGAAGCCTTTTTTTCAGCTTGTACTTCTTATCCTCTGATAAAGCTTTGCCTCGACGACAATATGTGGTGCTTCACCCCTGTTCCTCTTTCATTCCTACTATCCCATTTCTGACCTCATCCCTAATATTATTGGAACTTACTGCAAAGAAGAACTCAGATTCTGTGAGAGTTGAGCCCGCTGCCTTGTTTATCTCTATTCTTTTGTGATCTGGAACCCAAAACCGCCAGGCATCACTGTGTTAAGCAAAGATGGTCAAATTCTTAATGAACTCAAGGAATAGATAGGATTTAGTCTAAACGGATAAGATGGCTTTGAGTGTCATCTGACTATCGTTAAGGATTACGTTGCTCTCATTACGAGACCATAGGATATGTTTGCACTGGTGTATTTTGTGCATAGGTCAAACAATTTTCCGCATTTTGGCGATGGAGTCAGTAAGTCTTTAAAAATGGTATTTACAGTACGATTTCATTAAAATTCAGAGCATGCATTAGCCACGTAAAACGAAATATTTTTTGTTCCAAAATCATTCCGGTAGGTGGCGCTGGAGTCGAGATATAAAAAACATCGTATTTACCGTCCAATTTGGTTAAAATTTTTTAATTTTAGTATTGTCCACATAAATATATACCGAGATATTTTTTCAAGATATATCTCTTGCGGAAGTCAATAGTTATAGCTCTAAAAATTGTATCTAATCGATGGGTCCTTTCGAGGTCGGATTGATTGAAATTAATAACTGGCTATTGTTTGGAAAATCATTGGTTTTGCTTGCGGTTTCCGGCAGTAATTCCCATGAAACACCAACTGATGAAATAAACACATGGCTCAACTCTTCTTTGATTTGCTGCCTTATTAAAGTATTAAAAAGAATAAATAATGCTCTTAATTTAAAAAACAATTAAATAACACGTTTAATACAAATATTTTTTATACATTTAGTTAATAGAATTACATCTTGAAATTTTTAAGGTTTGGCGAAACGCGTCGTGTAAACTAGTTTCTATATAATTTAATCATTGCACATAGCCTAACCACATGACCTGCGCTTGAAAAATGCTTGCGAATATCCTTATAGGCACAGATACGTAGTCTCATTCGGCGGATATAGGTGGTAATATTATCCGATCAATTACAGTTAAGTGTTTTGAGGTTGAAAAACTCAGTGAGAGGGAATACCAGGCCGTTCCATGGTAATAATCATTTACTACCTCTTGATGATTGTAAGCCATGTAGAGTCCGCGAAAGGCGCTGGAAGCCTTGTCCGGCGGATGCATCACACTAGGCCGAACATACTTTAAATTGCAATCAAATTATAACTTAAGAAAGTTTTATTATATGGCAATTGAGAAGTGCATAGTATGCATTTAGGCGCCCGGTGTTAGTATTTGCGCCTAAACAGGGGTTAAAATGTTTTGCAACGATTTAAGAATCACTGTCTCTACTTTCTAAACTTGTACGTCAAGTTCCAACTACGAAGAATCATAGAGTTTAATTATAAAATCGGAAGCGGAGTCTTAAAAGGCTTCTAAGGGGTTTGAAAACAGCACATCAAACTGGATGCCATAAAAGCATGTTATGCGATGAATGATAGGAAGGATAGGAAGGAAGTTGAAAATGTGTTTATACGAGACAAGAGACTTGTTTTGTTTTCTTTTTGATTGTTTTGCATTATTTGCTTTAGTTCTCTGCAACTGCTGGTGGTTCCGAGCTCGCCGTCAGCCAGGGAACCAAAACGTAAGGACTGGTTTATTGCAACAAGAATCGAAATCGATTAAAATATCGAATATGCTATATTCGCTTTTGACGAGTGTAAAGTTTCTACTAAGACACTCGACTAAGCCTAAACGATATCTTTAGTGCAAATTTAGCTAGAGCGCGGCATACCTTTTTCGGAAACTAGTTAAAGTAGGCTTTATCCCAAAATCTGAGAAAACTGACTGTATAGGTGGCAGGAATTTTCGACCCATAAGTATAGCTGTTAAGGTGTCATATTTTTGGTTTTTTCTAAATTGTCGTACCTATACGAAATTAGGCTCCTTTGAAAAAATAATCCTAAATGAAAGGATTTGCATAGAAGGTCTTCGAGAAAATTTCTCCGAAAATTTTTTTTTGCAAATACATATTTATACATATTTGTATTAACTTTTTTAAAAACAACCCATATAAATCATGATTATCTCTTGGAGTAGGTTTCGTTTTGAAAACATACTAATCCTTTCAATCCCGCATTTTCTCCTTCTTCCCATCTTGCTATCTTCATTCTGGAAGTAACTCGGTAAAATTTTAATTCGCCACGCTCATTATTTTGGGCGCAAATTTCAGGGTACTACAACCTACACGCCTCTTAAGATCATAATTTTTTGGTTTCCTTTAAAGAATTTTTAAATTTCACAGGATTCAAAAGTCAATCTCTAAATATCAAAAACTCGCTTTAAAATCATTTAGATTTTTATAAATGCTTTTAACTGCTTAATGTAGCGTACCTATATGTTTTTCATTACCTTAATACGTATGCATACATATGTATTTACATACGCATATACATATATTCAATGTTTTCAATAAAGTGCCGCTGTGGCAATTCGTACGGCGTATTTTCATCAATACAAAAAATTGTTTTTTTTTTTATAAATTGCTACAATTAATTTTGTTTATAAACAATGTTTTCTTAACCGCGTTGCCGGTAACAATGTAGTCCTGCTGTGTGGATTTCCGATTTTACATTTTGATTAAAAATGCGTAGCAGCTGAAAATTTTGAGCACATGCAGCAAAGAGCAACAAAAAAAAACAACATAACAAAAAGGAAACAATAAAAAACGGCAATACAAAATACATACATATAATTTGTTTATGTCTTGTTCATGTAAATGTGTTGCAGTGATATATGAAACGAGTTAAATGGATTGCCAGGAAGTGGCCTAAATATGCATACATAAATACATATGTGTGTGTGTGTGTGCATATGGGGCTGTTTGAAAAAAATCGATGCTTTTTGTTCAAAGTCCTCTGTGAAAGGAACATAGAAAAAAATACGCCTATCAAAAGCGCAGACCCTAATATTAAGATTTAGAGGCGGTCATCGAATCAAAATTTCCTGAAAGTTCTCAATAAAAGTCTTAAAGCCTATTTTCATACCAAAAATGACGGAAATATACTTAAAACCTATTTTTTATTATTATTTATGGGCGTCACACAAAAATCGATAAAACAATCAAACAATGTTAACAAAATTCCTTATGAGCTACATAATTATTTTTGGTTCCAGTAGTGTTATTGGGCTTTGTACCACGATTTGTTTGGAAAAATGAAAAAAAAAACAACAATGTCTAAGCAGTAAAAGTTATAGCAGCTATTTCCGGTTCATGGTTTCATTTCAAAATAAGCTATAATTGGAAAAGTAATAAAAAAAAGCTATAAATCTGCATTACCATTTTTATAATTTTTCATACAAAATCTTTTTTAAATTACCCTGACTT